TGATCTGTCTCTGTATTTCATATTCACATCATTTCTCTTACTTTTGGCAACTCAACAAAACAATATAAACAGGTGTGTAATTATCAGCCCTCTACATGGAATGATCACTGGGGTTAGCAGTGGATGTGCATCATGTCTGTTTTACACACATTGTGCCACCACGATGCTGAAAACATTACAGAATACCCAAAGTCATTTGTCAAGTTGCCTTGTAGTGAGAATGCCCCAGCTCACCTCATTAGGTATTCATTCTATGCATTTCCAACATTATTTATCACATAATTTTCTTTGCTGATAACACAAACTCCCCAGCCTCAAATCGAGCATGAAAACTGAGGAGACTCCATCAAAATTTGTCAATTCCATTTATCTTTTCTCAGTCTATCCATCATGATTTGCATAAAAGAACAAAGACGGAAACCCAGCCAGGGAAATGATGAAAGAATACACTTGTGAGTTTCCCTTTATATCTGTCTCTGCCTTTTGGTCCATCTATAAGTCATCCACTTCTTCTTTTCACCTGTCAGATATAGGACTGCGGGCTACTTAACAGTATACCAGTGCAGTAGCTGCAGGAAGACAGATGGGTGGATGAGTGAGATGGACATTAGATGAACAGACAGATAGATAAAGGCAGACAGATAAAGGTTAGGTGAGGACAGGACGGGTTTAACACTGGACACTGTTCTACATTCCTGAGCTGCCTAGCATACTTTCCTAGTATAGCTCCTTCTGGGTGGCATTATATCTGATGTGTGTGTTCCAAGCTACTGTTGCCTTTGTTTTGGAGGAGATGGAGCTGGAAAGCTGTATGTATACCATCCCTCATGTGTCTGGCTGCTTTGGCACAAACACACACATTCACCCTCTGCGATAACTTATGAAGCTACATGCCCAGAAGAGTGTGAGTGTGTGTTTGTGTGTGTGGTTTTGTGCATGCCATATATTTATTGCATGACTTTTACAGTATGAATCTCATTACATTATTCTATGAGTTTGTCCTTGCAAGGAGGATCTCTCCGTATCAAGATGTGTCATATCAGCATGACAAGATGTAAAAAAGTTTTTCGTCCTCGTCTCCGTCCCTGCTGTGTAGATCTGCTCCGTGTGCTTTAGTTTGGGAATTCTCCTCACGCAAACTCCCTCCAAGGTTGGGCCTCCCCCATCCTCTCCTGCTTCTCATTTCTCAGTCCTCCTCCAGTTGCCCTTCCCTGTGTGAGCATCATCAACACTGGCACGGACTCTGACGAAAACAGCGCACGACTTCCTGTCGTTTCCATCGTTTGTTTGATACACTCCATTTCTCCTCGGCTGTTTGTTCATTCCAGATGAGGGGAGATGGGTCAGTTTTCACTGAGCGCACCAAACTTCATCTGGCTCTCATCAGGGGCAGCAAGTGTTTTTTGCATGGACTATTTTTCAACAGACATCATTCATCATCCCCTTTTATGTTTGTTTGGTCAGCCCTGTCTGACGAAAAATTACACCAATATTTGTATTATATTGCTCTGGGGATTTATAGCATGTTGATGGCACTCAAAAGTGAGTTTTCCCATTGGTATCCTAATTGTGTTACCATATATTTCCCATGGGGACTATAATATTCAGCAGGGGAATCATGGTGAATTCACTGTACATTCTCTATCTCATATAGCCTGATCATCATACTGAATGGCCATTTTACTGTCGCTTTATTATTCAATCTAACATTTTGGGTATAAAAGCGATTTCTGTGCGGAAGAGTTTGTTTTTTTAATTGCATCAATCATTAATCATAAATGACTGAATGTATGTGTTCTTTCAACATCCTGGAAGAGGTTAGCAGTAGTAGTTGCTCAGAGTGGTTAAAGTGGACGTATTATGCTCATTCTCAGGTTCATACTTGTGTATCTTGGGTTTTTCCCAGGACATGTTTACATGCTTTAATGGTCAAAAACACTTCATTGTCCTCATACTGTCTGTGCTGGAACACCTGTATTCACCCTCTGGGACGCTTCGTTTTAGCACGTGTCTGTTTAAGCCCCCTTTCCGAAAAAGCCGTTAGCAGCACCATAAAAAGCTTCTAACCACTACTGGACAAGTTCCAGCAGGAATATTATCTGAAATCAGGTTGAAATTTACAACATCTGCAACCAGGTTTACATGTTTTCCTGACTCTAGCATGTTGCATGTATGTTAGCAGTGTGCTGGCAGCAAGGGAATGACTGTAATGGTGAATAGCTTCACTCTCTACTGTGAGAAAACACCGATAAAAGCTTCTAAACACAACTGGACACATTCCCACAGAATATGATCCAAAATTGAGTAGGAATGAATAACAATGGCAACCAAGAATTCCTGTTTCCCTGCGTTAGCATGTAGCTACATGTAGCAGCGTAGGCGACATGATATAAACACCTGCAGGAGTGTGCCTGGAACAGATGACCATATGAAGACACCCAGCACACTATGATGTCATACTATAGCCAGAAAAGAAAAAACTGTTGGAAACACAGTATATTTATGGTCACCTCGTTGGTCCCCATTAACATAATAGTTAGACCCCTGGGAAATGTGCTTCTTTGCTTTCTTGCTGAGAGATAATTCCTATTTATATAGCAATATCTATGTACAATACTAAAATACAATATTGTCTTGTTACTATTTTTATGGACATTTCTTTGGGTCTGGCAAACAGAGATGAAATACCTGTTCTTCATCCTACCTACAACTGTCTGACTGGTTTGGTATTTTTGCACTGAAGCCCAGGGTGACAACTTAAAACATCCTGTTTTGTTTGACCACCAGCCCAAAACCCAAAGAGCTCATAGCTTACCATGATATATTACAGAAAAAAGTAACAAATGCTTACAACTGAGAAGCCGGGGCCAGAGTATAGTTAACTTATAAATTAATCACACCTATATGTCATGGGTATTACCATTTATCATCACTTAATGAAACACTTGAATTGATTTTAAATCAAAAAGAAAAAAATTGCACATGACCAAACATAGTTTCTGTCCATGCCCGACCCAAGGCAGCAGTTTTGGGCCTGAGCCCAATTAGAAACCAGAATTTCCACCACAAAAATATTGTATAATATATTAACATTATCTATCACAAGCTAAAGTCAGCTTGAGTTTATTCAGTGGGGTAACAGACGTACATGATCTCTGCCATGCATCTCCTCCTACTGAATGTACAGCCCATCCCAAATGTGTGTAACATTTCTCATCATTAGTAAGTGCGGGAGTCAGGATGGGTTGATGGCAACACACAGCCTATACATTATTCAGCCTATACATTATTCATGACATTACACAGACTATATGGTCGACAATAAAAGAAAAGGAAATCGGAGCAAACCTGACCTGTTTCAAGCTCCTGGTAATTCTGAAAAATTACGTCCCGTCCCAGCCCTAACGAGTCGGGCCCTATTGGGCTCAGGCAGAGAATCAGCTACACTTCCCATAATGCAACTCAGTAGTATCTTTTCATTATGCCCTCCCTATCGCTAAGCACAAACTTATTAAACTTATTCACAGTAGAATAATGCACTCTGTAATTCGTGAATTAATTTTGACATGTAATTTTGGTGAAGTCCATTTTTGATGTTAGTTTTCATTTCCTGGGCGATATGATATTAACCTTTATAGTCCTGTTTGGAATGATAGGTTGTCATGGGGTATTCATATCTAACTTCTTTTCCTTCTGTGCTTCAGAAATGCCTTTTTTTAATTGCAAGTTGCTCTTTTGCAAAAGTGCCACTTGATTCCTTTTGACCTGAGTGTCCATGGTGACCATTACAGAATATTACACAGCTGCTGATGAGATAAACCTGTTCCCAGAGACCGCCAGATAGTGTTAACCCCGCGTCTCTCCGCTGGTGATGGGAGGGCATTTCTGTGCTGTTCTGTTAACTGTTTACCCATTTACCTTCTCTCTGTAGTCCGCAGGCCATCTGTCAGCTCTGTGTACGTGTGTGTGTGAGAGAGAGAGTGTATTTTTTGTTTTAATACTACTTTAGTGCAACAGACCATAAAAGGCTCGTATTGGGACACCTCAAACACACACATTCATTTAGGGAGTTTCTTGCAGTGAAGGTTACCAACGGGCTTCTGCACACACACGCACATACACTGCCGGACATGTGTTGTGAGTTTGTCAGACAGACAGACTTGGAGTCAGCACGAGGAGGGAATTCCTTCATCTGCACGCCCCTTCAAGCTGCACATGTGCTCAGCATCTGCTCCACACACACATACACACACATAAGGAGAGTGAGTGGGAGAAGAGATGACGATAAACACTGATCAAGAAACAAAAAAAAAGCTTTTTTTTTTCTAGCATTCCACAGTCTTTTAAGCGCTGTCCTTCTAACCTCCCATCACAGCCTGAAAGAGCCCTCTAAAGAGCTGCCAGAGAGGCTGTTAAGAGTGTGCGCCGTCTCAAGGTTACGAGGCGGACTGATCTGATGCTGCTCTTTTATGTACTGTGGATGCCACATTCTCCTCTCAATGGCAAGTGATTCACCCGCTCTTGACGTCTCAAAGGGGATCCACATATGCCGCTTGCTCCTTTGAAGGTTGATCGTGTGAGGGTACATGTGAATATAAGCGTGTTTGTCAGGCACACAAACATTGCGTGTACGCTGCGCTTCATATACAAGTACAAACGCATGCACTGCAGTGTGTGTGAGGTGTTTTTCTAACTTTCTGCTCTGTTAGCTGCAGTTGGAATGAAAGCATATTGTTTGCCAGAACACATGTACTGCAGTCATCTCTAAAGGCAAGAATGCAAATGTGATTTGGGACATTAGAGGATTAATTACCACTAGCCCAGTGAGAGTGGGAGAGCATGTAATACATGCAATATATAATTGGCAACATAACATTGCCCTTACATTTTCTGTGTTTTTATTCCCAGATGATAAAGTAGATTCTGCAGTTGTAGCAATTAAAGGCTTTGGTTTGTTGGTGCTGCACTAACACATCGTTCTTTCTCTCCACATGTTGCAGGATGTTGGAGTACTCCCCCAGCCTGCAGAACGTCAGTTTCTCAGCGGTGAGGACGGTTCGCGTGCTGAGACCTCTGAGAGCCATCAACCGAGTGCCAAGTGAGTGCAGACCTACTGGCCTTTCACACTTAAGCTCTCTATTACCAGACTCTGGATTCCAGAACACTCTGTCCTCTAATATCACAACACTTGTGGCTTCCTCTGGAGACAAATACACGTCTTTGATCTTAAACTGAAGCCAGGCTGCTAAAGATACAGATAGTGTGTGTGACTTTTAGGCTGACCATTGCTTTAGGCCATTGTGAGTGGCATCAGTGCAAGTTTAGGGTGTTACCACAGATGATCTGGTGGTGTGTGAGTTTCAGATGTGAATCTCTTACTCTTCACAAAAAAATTCAAAAGTTTTATAAGACGTACAAACATAGTGTGCACTACTTAAGGGGTAAGTTCTGTAATTTTCAACTTGTACCCTATTTTCCCATGTTTTCATGTCCAAGTGACCAATGGGGAAAACATACAAACTGTCAGTTTTCATCCAGTATAAAAAATATATCAAAGTCACCCTCTAACTGGGCCTGAAAATAAGCTTGTAGCCTCAGTATTTCAAGACTTCTTTATCTTTGTCATCAGAAATGACAAAGGCATAATGCAAATACATAGAATGTAGTCATTGTAAAATTCAGTGTAAAATTATCATTGGCCCTAAAACATTTAGTCTTTTGGATAGTGAATCAAAGAAGAGGACCAGCCAGAGCCAATGTGTGTGCCACACACTTGAACCGAGCTTTTAATCCATAGCAGACCACTTATGACATCATGTAAGACTATATTTTCTGGTGTTTGAGCACTGGTAGTGTGATGGAACTTGACCACATAGTTATTAGTGGTTGTACCCATACAGTGTGTAACATCCGTAGCAGACTGGGAGACTACACAGAGCCCCCTGTGTACGTGCGTACCCCTTGTCAGTGTCTGAATGTGCATTCACTCCCAGTCAGAAGACATAACATCATTACTGTGACACGAAGTTGTCACTGTCAGTTAGGGATGTTTAAATGTTACAGTATAGCTAATGCTAACAGAAAGGTGTCATACTGAAAGTTTGCAATAAAAGAAAAAGTAAGAGATAATTGAGAGGTATAGAGAGAAATGTGCATGAACTCTCCCCCAGTCCAACACTTAACATCTGTCTGTAAGCTAAATATGAACCTTGAAACCTGCAGTTTCCCCCTGCTTCCAGTTTTTATGAGAAGCTAAGTGGCTGCTAGCTGTAGCTTCATACTGACATCCTGCCATGACAGTGGTATCAGTCTTCTCATTTAACTCTCTGTAGGAAAGCAAATGGGCTATTTTTTTAGTAAGAATCCCCATAGACCACCATATTAAAATGCACAAATGTACAGCAGAAATAGACATGTTTACAGCATGGTACACAAATCAGTTTTGGTCTCTATAGCTCATTTCAACGTTCATGACAACTGTATAACTGTATAGCCCCTTTTACACTGCCAGATTTTCTGCGAATGTTAGGCCATTTTGCCGGCAAGCTGCAAGTGTCTAGACACACAGAGCTGGATTGGCAAGTTGATCCGAGGTGCCCAATTTTCTGCCGCATAGGGGTAGACATATTGGCGTAACCTTTTTGGTTTAAGAAGAACGAGGCGCCCCTCTGCCATGGGAGGGGCTGTTGATGACTTGTGGGAGGAGCTGTTGATGACGCCGCATGTGCGAGCCACTGGCGGTGGACTCACAGGAAACAGCTGATACCAGGAATGAGCAGCTAGTAGCAAGAGGGAAACGTAAACCTGAAAGACACTGTAAAGATGAGCAACTGGGGAGACAAGGAATTGCGCGCTCTCCTTGCCATCGTAAATGAAGAGGTCATTCACCGTCAAATGACAGGGATGGTGAAGGACGGGCCAACTTATGAGAGAATCGCCGAAGGACTGACCAGCCGTGGCTTTCCTCAGAGTGTGTCACTGTTTACGTCACACACTGTGCTACACGTTTTGTTACTTGCTCACGCCCCCCATTGCCTCGAAAAAGGCACATTCTGTATGTATGTAACACAAAGTAGGCAGGCGGCATTTTGCCGCACCCCCTGATTTTGTTTTTATACTGCCAATGCTGACCGAAGACTGATTGGGCTTTCATACAGGAGGTAAATCAGCTACTTTACCTTTTATATATTTTTACTCACTCCCTTCTATCGTTCTGTGTCCCCTCTCTAAATTCTGAGGTTTTGTTTTTTTTACGGTCTGTAAACGCAGCACAGGCAAAACTTCTCATGAGTTCTGTTTTGCATCAGCAGTAGTTTGTGGACTTTGAGTCACGGGGTGGATAATTAATCAGTCAATCTCAATGGAGCATCTCAGATCAGAATGATGGATGAGAGGAGCAGCTGCTGCAGGGGAATGAAAACTTTTAGACCCAGTGTAAAGAACGATTAACTTAGTAATTAACTCTCATTGCACCTGGCGTTCTGCTGCTCCGTCTGTGCCCAGAGTGCATTCTGCTGTCCAACAGTGTGGTGCAATAAATAACCGAATGGTACATATATTCCCACAGTGCTCCTAATGAACAGCCCAGTTCCAATTATTAAAGAATCAACACGTGCCAGCAGATATAATTATTATGGTGCTACACATACAGGAATGTACAGGAAACACTGTCACCTGTTTCACTTTAATTAAGGCTTAAAGTTACACATAATTAATGTCCAGCTCAGGTCACTTCTGGCTCCAGAAAAAAAAAAAACAAGATCAAACTGAAGGCTTTGAAATGGGAGTCCGTAAACCAATGGGTCATGGTTTTTCCATTATTTTATACAGTCTATGTTACAGGCACAAAACAGTTACTCACATATATGATTACTTCACCAAAGGGCTCGACTGAGTTCATCTATCCCATCTCTGAGATTTCATTTTATGTGTATGCATTCTACAAAATCCAACTTGTCCTTCAGAGTGTTCACCTTTAAGGATTTAGTATGTGATTCTGTAGAAAGGTAGTTGATTGTTAAGTTTTATTCCCAGGTGGACAAATACAGACCCTTTGGGCTGGTGGTTCCGATCCAACTGCCAACCAAAAGTGCTGGTATTTGACCAGGGAATGAAACAGAAAATCAACTATCTTTCTCCCGACTCACATACTGAACCTTTAGGGTAAAGTATGAAAAAAGACTCTTCTTGTTAGATGCTTGGTGTCTGCACAATTTGTTTCCAGATTAAGATACTTGTTAGCCAACCAACACAATGACAGGTGGCAGTAAAAAATGACATGTCTCTTTTCCTTAATGTGGAGAGACTGATTTCTGTAATAGTTTGAAGTCAAATGTCACAGTATTAGTATTTAAACCAAACACTGAACTTTAATAGTTGGCACCAAAGAGCCGCATTAACTGACATTTAAGAACATATCACAATGACCAACAAGTGATATCTTGCTTCTCATGATTAATTGGACTTTGTAGCAGGAGTTATTAGCTGTATAAATGTACCTTATCTTAATATTCTGCCTCTGTCCTGGTTCTTGCTTCAACTGGGGATCACACAGGTGGATTGAATTCTTACTCAGCATTGGAATGTGGGTCAGGGACATGCCGGTCCACACTTAGTATGCTGCTTTGACTGTGTCCTTGTGTTTTGGTTTCCCCCAGACGGTCAGCTCTGGACTCAAACAGATTTATATGCAATTTTCCAACTCACCGAATTTTATTAAAGGACTGTAGCTCATAGCTACACTCGCACACACAGACTATCACACTTGTTCATTGCGACGAACGCACAAAATCCCTGAGTTGCTCGCTCTATCCATCATCCTCCCCCTCCCTTTCTTTTAAACACTCACATATTATCCTAACCCCCCAAAAATGGTTCCATATTTCACTCCCCTTTTCTTCCATCGGTCTCCATTAGAGTTTAATCAGCACAGATTGAATTTCCAGTGCACACATTAAGGCTTAAATAAATCATAAGCATTTTTATACCCACCCAGCAGTCTACTCTGTGCATTCCTTCTCACCTTGATTCCACCCCCTGCAATGCTTTCATTTAAATACAGACCCTAATTATGTCATTAGCTCCCTCAATTGCTCAGAGGAGATTGCAGACAAACTGAGCAATGATCCCAGGATATGTGTGTGTTTATGTGTGTGTGTGCATGCAGGTGTTTATCCCTTGTAGGTGCAAGAATGGGACATCAACCTCCTATCCATCTGCCGATGACACTCCCAAACCCTTTTCTGTAATCTTACCCTCTTGTCAATCAAGCCGTTGTAGGGGTCTTGTGCTGCTCATTAGGCCACACACTCGGAGAGCGCACAGCCTCGCTCATTAGGCATCCAACAATTCCTCATCCTAATCACAGGACTAATAGCGGCATTAATGTGCGGATGATTTGGTCTGGTTCTGGCCCTGCGGGGAAAATGTCATTGGGTAGAGTGGTGGTGATGGTGGTGGTGATGGTGGTGGAGGGGGGGTCCCCAAGTGTTTTGTGTGGCTGGTATCTGTCTTCTGTCCCCCCTTCATCCCTCCACCAGCCTAATCAAGTCCTGGGGAGAAGCTCGCAGCATTCATCATGACTGGTTGGAGATGTTTATTTTGGAGCTCAGACTATTTTGAGTCACACTGAACTGAATCTGAATACTGTGAGTTAATTTGCTACATGTAAGACTAGATTCGTGGAACTGACAGGTGTTTTTCTCCTGTTCCATTATTAAGCAGTTGATGGGTTGGTAGGAAATGGTGGTAAAAGGGCAAAGCTACAGTTTGCCCTTTAAAGTTCGGCAAGCACCAAAAATCTGACCTGCCTAACTGGCGATATTACAGAAGAAGTATGGAGTAGGGATGACATAGATGTTGCAACATAAAATGTGATAACATCCACAGATTTACATTTGTATCAGTGCAGCGGCAATGAGTTATACTTGTACGGTACAGTTGCCCACACACAGAAGTTGTTATCACGTAGGATCCTCCTCTCGTTCTCACAGAGTTCATCCCTGGTCTAAAAGGATAGATGCAGATTTTTCCAATTCTATCTTAGAGTATGGACAGGAGGAATAATAACAGTGACCTATAAATGTATTGTACATAGAG